ACGTTCATTACAATCATCAGAGCTACTGTTAGTGTTACGTATACAGTTGCGGTACTGTACTATCGCTAGCATGCGTGCAAAAATGTCCGGTGCACTATAAATCTGTATAACACCCGTTTCGCCGTATGCGGTTTCGAAACTGTAAACAAGTCGGGCAACTGATTTCTTGGACTGCAGATTTCAATTAGACATTTCTTAGTAACCAAGAGTGATATTGGACAAACTAATACGCGTTTGGCTATAAGGTAATGTACTTATTAACTACACAAGGTGCCAGTTACTGTAGCATTCGTCAACTTTGCATAATTAATAAGCCTATTATTCCTTTAATTGCCGATAATTACCCGTAAATGCCGGTCAAATGCTCATCTGATCTGCAACACAGACCGCACGCTTGCCCTGTGCACAAACAACATGAATAAGAGAGCAGGTAGGAGAGCGTGATCGCAAAATTCGCTTGACGCTTGCTATATTTCACACGATTACAGAACAAATACACAACCAACAGCCTCCATCTTGGTATCTATCTGTAGCTAAATGTTCACTTGTTCAAATTATAACTGTTCTTTGTTCTTACCTACTCACGCCAGAGATATCTCGTGAAATCCTGCAGGAAATGGTCTTTCCGTGAAAATGTAAAGAGGACGAGATGTCCGTTTATACAAGAGTAATGGTGCGCATTGCATGCCGGGATGAGCTGCTGCCTGCCTCCGAGCCTCCGTTTCGAGGCCCGCCAAGCCAAGCGTAATGCGCGCGGGCATGACATCACACACACACACGACTACAGTGATCGATCGAAAGTAGCGCCGTTATGGATTTTCGGATGATACGTCCTCTACATTTTCACGGAGAGAACATTTCCTGCAGGATTTCACGAGATATCTCTGGCGGGAGTAGATAAGAACAAAGGACAGAGTTATAATTCGAACAAGTGAACATTTAGCTACAGATAGATACCAAGATGGAAGCTGTTTGATGTGTTTTCGTTCTGTAGTCGTGTGAAATGATGCGAGCGTCGAGCGAATTTTGCGATCACGCTTTCCTACCTGCTCTCTTATTCATGTTGTTTGTGCGTGCGGTGTACTTGTGTGTTGCAGATGAGAATTTGACCGGCATTTACGGGTAATTATCGGCAATAATAGGCGAAATAGAGTAGAGAAACATTAAGACTGGTCGTAAATACATTTCGTGTTTACATAATTTTTTTTATTGAGACGTTCCAAGTGCCTGTGCCTAAACCGAGTGGTTTGGCGGCGATGTCACATATTGTAATGCCTAATGGTTGTATAAAATTAGCATTAACTAAAAGTTCTGCGAACACATGTAGTTTATCTTAAGCCTAGGACACACTGCGATTTTCTACGCTGGCCGCTTGCGATCCGCTGATCGATAAATACGGTGCCGGGTCGAAAAACCGGGCGGAAATATTCAACATGTTGAATACGAGCGATGCGCCGGGCGTATGGGATCGCGAGCGAAATACGCTGCCATGAGACCGGACACACCGCGCGGACCCGGCACCGTATTTATCGATCGCAAGCGGCCAGCGTAGAAAATCACGCAGTGTGTCTTAGGCTTTAGGCAGCAACCAGGGTACATCAACGGTAACTACTTCCACAACATTTAGCTAATTCTCATAGACTAAACTTCTTAGTATAAACTCGTGAATTTTGGTCTAGTATATTGCTTCTATGTCATGCAGGTCAATATGCAGATCTTTGTAAAGACCCTGACTGGTAAGACCATCACCTTGGAAGTAGAGGCATCTGACAGCATTGAAAACGTGAAGGCCAAAATCCAGGACAAGGAGGGAATCCCCCCGGATCAACAGCGCCTGATCTTCGCCGGAAAGCAGCTGGAAGATGGCCGCACTCTGTCCGACTACAACATCCAGAAGGAGTCTACTCTTCACCTGGTTCTGCGTCTGCGTGGAGGCATGCAAATCTTCGTCAAGACCCTGACTGGCAAGACCATCACCTTAGAAGTAGAGGCATCTGACTGCATTGAAAACGTGAAGGCCAAAATCCAGGACAAGGAGGGAATCCCCCCGGATCAACAGCGCCTGATCTTCGCCGGAAAACAGCTGGAAGATGGCCGCACTCTGTCCGACTACAACATCCAGAAGGAGTCTACTCTTCACCTGGTTCTGCGTACTGTGGCGTGGAGGCATGCAAATCTGCGTCAAGACCGCTGGCTGGCAAGACCATCACCTTCGAATAGATGCATTGTGCTGACAGCATTGAAAACGTGAAGGCTTCGATAGAATCGCAGGACCCAAGGGAGTGGTAATCCCCCGGATTGCACAGCGCCTGATCGTTCGGCGGCGGAGAAAAAGCAGCTGAAGATAGGACGCACGGCCTATGCTCTGGTGCCGACTACAACATGCCAGAAAGGAGTGCGAGTACTTCTTCATCCTGTTTGCGTTGCGGTGGACGGCATGCATAATCTTCGTCAAGACGCCTGACTCGAGGCAAGGACCATGGCACCGGTAGGAAGTAGAGCATGCTGACCTGGCATTGAAACGTGAAGGCCAAAATCTCAGACAGGAGGAGGGAAATCGCCGATCGGCGGATGCAACATGGCGAGCCGCGCTGATCTGTTCGCGCGGGAAACCAGCTGAAGATGGGCCGCAGGCTCTGTTCTCCGAGCTACAACATCGGCAGAAGGAGTCTACTCTAGTCACATCCGTGGTTCTGCGTCTGCGTGAGGCATGCAAAATCTTCGTGCAAGACCCTGAGCTGGCAGACGCATCACGCTGGAAGTAGAGGCATCGCTGACGCATTGAAAGACGTGAAGGCCAAAATCCAGGAGCAACGGAGGGATATCCCGCCAGAGGATCAACACGGCGCTGATCCTATCGCGAAACAGCTGACAGAATGGACGGTCACTCTGCCGACTACTAACTATCGGGGCAGAAGGAGTCTACGTCTTCACGTGGTCTGGCTTCTGCGTCTGCGTGGAGGCCATGCAAATGCTTGGCGTCAAGACGCTGACATGGCAAGAGAAGGCACGCGTTCGCGTGCCATGGCACCGTGGAAGTAGAGGCATCGCGACATGCATTGAGCGACGTGAGGAGGCCAAATCCAGGAGCAAGGAGGAATCCGCCGGACGGCGGATCAACAGGCGCCGTGCTTCTTGGCCGGAAAAGCGAGCTGTATAGATGCCCCGGCACTCTGTCCAGAGCACTACAACATCCGTCCAGAAGGATCAACTCCTTCACCCATGGTTCTGCCGTGCCGTGAGCTATGCGAAAAATCTTCGTCAAGACCTGCCTGGCAAGAACGGCATACCACTAGAAGTAGAGGCATTGAGCTGGCATTGAAAACGTGGGAAGCGCCAAAAGTCCAGGACAAGGAGCGACGAATCCACCCGGATGCAACAGCGGCCTGATTCTCGCCGGAATAGCAGCTGCACAGCGAAGAGCACGCAATAATGCTCGCACATACCAACTCACACCAGGGCACGTCTTCTCTTGCCCTTGTCTACGAGTAACTGCGCAGCCCGGGTTTTTGTAGATACCCTTGAAGTGTGATCTATAGACCCTCAGCTACCTCTGCTGCAGATACACACACGCATGCTTATATTCCTATATCACAATAATTTGTCTAACTGCTGCATATGTGTTTGCTATAGGTTTCATCATTTGCGCAGTGAAATGGTATTGGTACAGTTTTTTTCTTTTGTAGTCAGGATCATTGTACTAAAGTTGGCTCTTACTAATTGGCTATGGCATACAGTTCCATAGTGCTGTGCAGTACCGCGCGCTGAAATTGAATTGTAGTTATGGTTCTTAGTGTGGCTTAGCATTGTGAATACTATGCGATTGATTTCGGCACCGTTTAAGTGACACTTGCGTTGCCAAAAGTCGTAACACAGGCTCCGCTCATAACGATATTTATTCACAGTCGTCATGCAATTTTTGGCTTCTATATTATGAGTTATGGAAAACTGTATCGAGAGTGTATCGTAGAAGTAGGCAGCTATGCCTAATATATTGCTAGTGTGATTATTCAGCCGGCACTAAAGGCCAATTTTATTTTATAGCATTGAAAAATTAATCAACATGCGGCGAGGGGGGGGGGGGGGGGGGGGGGGTGAGAATCTGAATCGAAACATGGCTCATTGTATGATGCTTAGATGTGGTTCGTTTCTAGTTAGTAAGCGAAAGATGGGGCCATCCTTCTTGTGGGCAGCGGTGTGTATGATTACCGATATTTTAGGTTTTTTAATAATTCGAGAATTGTCAGCCCTCTCATTCCGTACAGTAACGGTTCATGAGTTAATCTGAGCGGTGAATTTTAAAGAAGGCCTAAATTACGTGTCTTACAGCTCGTGATTTGATATACCAGTACGTTATCCCCCAACTATTATCATGCAGCGGTGGCAAAATATTCGTGGTGTAACCGGCGGCGAGAGCAAATAGATGAACATGCTTAAGCTCCGTGCATGAAATCTGTATTGACGAGGATATGTTCACAACAATGATAGAATTGAATAGTCTTATAAGAATGGGCGGCAGGACTGAAGTTCATAAGCTCTGTGACGTATAGCTATTGGAGTAGCGAATCGGGTCTAGGCCTGCACATCTATATAAATACGCGCTTGAGGCGCCTCAGTGTCTCACTAGATCGTTCAACTCCATGCAGTATTCCATGCAGGGGCCATGAATTGCATGCCGTGGTATGAGATAGTTCTAGTATTTAGATCCGGCTCGGTCATGCGGGGAAAGGCTCAGAACTGGCTTTTCCATACCCTGTAATCGTCAATAGTGTGGATGCCGCTCTGTGGGTGTAGTTAACCAGTCAGACAGAGCGTCGTCGCTATCAGGGTAACGACACCAGACAGCATAATGGAGAGTCATTCTCTCCGTCACTATCCACCGCATTTATCCCCGCCGCTCTCGTCTCATCTGCTTCGTGCACTTCTCTCTTCGATGTTCGTCTCTCGTCTCGTCATCACAGTCGGCCGCTAATGTTCGGGCTGCCGGACAGGGAACACACACTCTCTCTCTCTCTCTCTCTCGTTCACATTGAGATACTAGGCTTTAGTGAGTAGCACTGTGATGGTATGTTGAGGTTTACACCGCGTGTGGCCGAATACTTTGTCGTTATGTTGTGATTTCGCGTAACATCGCTCTGAAGACGCCGTCTCTCGCACAGGAACCATCAGCCGGCACCAAGCCGTAGTGATGAAAGGTAAACATGCAGGCCTACCGACTTCTTTCAGTGCGATGGTAAATATAGCTGCGTATGATGAATGGAACGTCTATGAATATATAGTCCGCTCGATCGTCTGTAGAGTGACTCTTGCTTTACATTAGTTATGTCTGCTATAGCCTGCTACTGTTCATTACTGCGTCCTATCTTCAATGGCAGGACAATAACGCAGATGGGGTCGTTGTCGTATCAGGTACTACAGATATTTACCCGAGGTAGTTTTAGGTTGTTTAGTATTATGTTTATATTTTGATATGAGGTATGTTTAGGGTTAGGGTACACTTCTGTAGTACAAGTCTGGTACACTTTGTGTATACATATATGTACCTCGGTTACATCTGTAGTACCTGATACGACAACGACCCCTTTCAAGAGCGACAATAACCCGTGCTCAGGCCATAATGGCGTGCGTGTGATTGTTGCGCCCAAGTCCTAGAGAGACGCCGTTCAGCGTCATGCATCCGTCACTATTGTATTGGGAATTTTCGTGATAATTCGCTGTCCGCGTGGCAACATGACGCACGTAATCCTTCACATCTCTATAGCGTCGCCTCGCGTTTTTCCCGCCCATTAACAGGAACATGGCGACGACGTCTCTGCGGAACGTCGTAGTTCGTCTAAAGGTCACCCGGCGGCTAGCGCACTGGCGCCTTTATTTGCTCGCCGCCGCGACCATCAGCGTCTGTCTATGGCTGCGCTTGATGCGGATAAATGACGTCACCATCGTCGATGACGACGACGTCGCGCTACGTGCGAGCGGCAGCTTCTACGTCGCAGAGCGGCGTGTAGTGTCGGCGATCAACTGCAGCGCCCTCTTCGCCGGAAAGAAATCGGAAATCTCGAAGGCGCTGGAATACGACAAATCGCACAGCGAAGGGAGAGACTTCGATGTCGTGAGATACTTTGCAGGTCCACACGACTGCGACCGTTTCAGAAGCCGCCGTGGTTATCCCAGCAGACCCTTGTCAGACGAAGAGAATTTGTTCCCGCTCGCGTTTAGGTAATCTCTCTGTCCATATCCATGCTTTCTCTGACGCCGTGACGCGCGCACATTCTTTAAGACTACAACATCCAGAAGGAGTCTACTCTTCACCTTGTCCTGCGTCTGCGCGGGGGTTTTTAGATACCCCTTGAAGTTGATCTATAGCTGGTAGTTTGTCAAGTAAAAACCGCATGCTTATTCTATACTAATTTTCTAACTGCTCTAGGTGTTGCTATAGTTTCATAATTGCACCAGTGAAATTGTATTTGTACTTTTTGTAGTCATAGATTCATTTACTAAATTGCTTTACCTAATTGCATGAATACAGTTCATAGTGTAGTCAGTACCCTGCTGAAATTGAATTTGTAGTTATGGGTTCTTTCAGTGTGGCTGTAGCATTGTATTACTATCGATTGATTTCCTTTTAATGAACACCTGCGTTGCCAAAAGTCGTAACACTCCTCATAACGATATTTATTCACAGTCCATGCAATTTTTGCTTCTAATTATGAGTTATGGAAAACTGTATCGAAGAGTGTATCGTAAGAAGTAGCTCATGCCTAACTAATATTCTAGTGTGATTATTACCCACTAAAGCCAAATATTTATTTTATTGCATTGAAAAATTAAATAAACATGCCTGAGAATCTAATCAAACTGCTCTTGTATGATGCTTTAATCGTGGTTCGTTTGCTAGTTAGTAACAAAGATGGCCATCCTTTTGTGCAGCGTGGTGTATGATTAACATTTTTAGGTTTTAATATTCGAAATTGTCACCACTCATTCCTACATGTAAACGTTCATGTAAATTGGCGTTGTTTTAAAAAGCTACATTACGTGTCTAATGCTCGTGATTTGATATACATACGTTATCCACACTAATTATCCACAGCGGTGCAAATATTGTGGTGTAACCGGCGCAGAGAAATAGATGAACATGTATGCTCGTGCAATGAAATCTGTATTACGAAGATATGTTCACAACAATATAATAATAGTCGTTACTAAAATGGCCGCAGGATGAATTCATAAGCTCGTGACGGTATATATTGGAGTAGCATCGGATCTACTGCTACACTATTATAAGTACCGCTTGACCTCGTGGTCTCACTAGACTAGTGGTGCCCCCGGACGGCCCGTCTTTTCACCGCAGGTGTCATTTCAAATTTGCAGCGGCACGCTCCCCCTAGTGGCCATTAAATACAAAACAGGGAATTACATTATGGGAATTCGGGGACGTCGGGGACACTGGGAATTCGCTTAGTCTGAATTCGTGGGCAACAGTGACTGACTTGACACAGCGTTTGCTGGCTGGTAAGTCATTCATCGTAACATGTTGAAATTGTTGGCAACTGAAAACGCGCATCAAAACTATAATAAAACTGAAAATTAACTCTAATTAACCTCAATACTACCGGCCGACCGCATGCCACATGACAATGTGATTTACACTTCGGTGATCGATGCCATCGCAAATGCCATTGGTTGATACAAAATCACGAGCCTCATAACTCCTAACAATAGACGCCCCAGTTGTTGTCCAGGCAACATCCATAAGACATAACCCCAGATAGCCTCGATACTGAACCGCCTAGAGCACAGACCGAGCACTGGCTGAAATGTCGTTGGATTCGAACTCATATATATTTTAATTATCATCTTCGCTGTTTTCGTGTATTTTCATATGTTTTCATATTCTCCAATGATTTAATTTACAAAACAGTTTAATAACAACAAAGTAATTTTTTTGGGCTATAGAGTTAGGGTTAGGTTAACATAAAAGAACTACTGAGGGCGTAAAACACCCTCCCGATTACCGGAGACTCGCAGTG